AAAGATTCATTTGTGTACCTAGCCTTACAAAAACTACATTTCAAACAACAGCAAAAGACTAAAGCAAAAGACTAACTACAGAATTAAGAAAATTAGGGGTTTTTTCCCAGCTAATGCAGGGGACAGTTAACAAACTTTTACAGTTACAACTTCAAAAATAAGTGCAACAGGCTGACCAATCTATTGTGACGTTTTAATAAGTGCACTGTGAAACTATAACGGTTAAAGTTTGTTTGTACCGGGGGATTAACTTGAAAAAACCCACATGAAAAGGGGCTCACTGTAGCCAGATAATAAGAGTAAAGTATATAATTATATGAAAGATTATTCTTATTAACTAATGGATGCATGGATTATTTCCAAACTTAGCATGGTCAAAAAAAAAAATATTGTTAGTCCAAATCGGGAGTTTTTCCTTTGATGAAACTTAAAACTGCTTAATCAAATTTGCTTTGGCCCCTATAAGGAACTAATTTCGCATTAAAAATTGAAATTTTTTTGGAAGATTCTTATATTATCCATCATCACGGTGCATATCCATATCAGTACCCTCTTTGGGAAATCTGCTGAAACGGTACCCTATTTGCACATACACAGGTCATTCTCTGCTAAAAACAAACCAGCGATGGATAACAATCCAGTAAAATTTCATTGTAATAAGGAAAGGAGGGATGACACTTAGAAAACATGTATACCACGGAACACTAGAATGTTTTATTTATGTGCTGATTTGTCATGTGCCTGTTTTTCATGTACTGCAACTTCACAATAAGCTACAAAAAATCGACAAGTCTTGTCTCGTCCATCACCTCGACATACTTTTCGGGCTGCAATGAACCTGTGGCTTGATTATATATGCATCATACATATTTAATATGTTCATTTACATATCATCATCAGACAAATGGCTGTATATTGTCAAAAATAAATGTAAAATTCATAAAAACACCCTACTTTCGGTTTTGCAGCGGCACGGGCTACCTCTCTTCATTTGGATTTTTATATCACAGGTACCCTCTCATTTTTTTTACACATAGGTACCTTCAAAGCACGACATATGCTTTTATTTGCGTTAATGCTTAAGTATGTAATATTTACATAAAAGTAAGAAATATAACATACGTAACGATTTAAGCAAATAAAAGCATATGTCGTGCTTTGAGGGTAACCTATGTGTAAAAAAAAATGAGAGGGTACCTGTGATACCAAAATTCAAATGAAGAGAGGTAGCCCGTGCCGCTGCAAAACCTAAAGTATGGTGTTTTTATGAATTTTACATTTATTTTTATTTATACTGCCATTTGTCCGAAGATGATATGTAAATGAACATATTAAATATGTATGATGCATATATAATCAAGCCACAGGTTCATTGCAGCCCGAAAAGTATGTTGAGGTGATGGACGAGGCAAGACTTGTCGATTTTTTGTAGCTTATTGTGAAGTTGCAGTACATGAAAAACGGGCACATGACAAATCGGCACATAAATAAAACATTCTAGTGTTATGTGGTATACATGTTTTCTAAGTGTCATCCCTCCTTTCCTTATTACAATGAAATTTTACTGGATTGTTATCCATCGCTGGTTTGTTTTTAGCAGAGAATGACCTGTGTATGTGCAAATAGGGTACTGTTTCAGCAGATTTCGCAAAGATGGTACTGATATGGATATGCACCGTGATCATGACCCTTTCCGAGTTCAATTTTTGTCAGTGTTTGCATATAAAAGTTCTTTATTAACTTCTCAACACTAATGGGATGCTATAAAACCTTAACTTTTAAAGTATAAGGGATTTTAGTATCAAAATACAAAAATTGAGCTACTAATACTGGTGGCAAAGGCTTATCACTTTGAGTTCCTGAGCAAGGTAAGGGTTAAAAGTTGTTTTTATCTTATTAAATTAATTTTCAGTTGTTGTTTTCATGGTCAGTATTTTAATTATAAAAAAACTAGATCTATTTGTCCCTTTAAATTAAATGCTAGTAGTTTTTTACTGTCACACATTATATAGGTAATTTAAATAGGTCATTAAGGCTTTCAGATATTTAGTGGTATCTGCCAATAGTGTTCCTGAAAAGGACTTATCCTGCTTCAATTTTTTGGAATTGTTCATCATATATATTTGTGATGTCAAGATGAAAATTTAAAGTTGATCAGCCAGCATCCTGGTCAGAGTGTATGGATGTGCAGCCTGGCCTGCCACTACACTGATGGCAAATTACTTTCACTTCCAAATTAAGGAATTAATAAATAAACTGTATCTTAAGCAATAGCATTTTGCCACTACATCAGCAATGTCAATATTTGTCATACTCATAATATTATAAAAAAGAGATTTTCTTTCTCTTTTTTTGCCAAATCATATACATGGACCATGATTTAATCATGCTGATATCATCATGTTTTTGTCAGTAATAAACAGTGCTAAAGAGTCTTATTGTGGCTCATGGTTTAAAATTTTTAACAGTCTTAAATGACCTTTACATGAATTTATGAAACTTTATCACTATTGTTTCTTTAAAATAATAGCATTCATGTAGTTATGATTTAAACACTACCCTTATTGATTGATCAGCTGTAAAATGAACACCATGTAGGACAGCTTATTATGTTGGTAGTTGCTAGTCCCTTTATATAATGTCCTACAATGTTTTGATTGGGTTTTAAAACACACCAACACAGTTTAGGTCACATGGCGATGTTCCAGCTTGTACTGGTGCTGGAGGACCTAATGTGCCCTTCCTTGCATTATTTCAGGCACGAAGGGGCACCTGAGTAGAACCACCAACGTACCATAAGCTAGCTGGATAGCTTCCTCATATGAAAGAATCCAGAGTGCCTGATGGGATTCAAACCCACAGAGGTGAGAGGCAAGTGATTTGAAGTCAACAGCCTTAACCCCTACATCCCACATTGTGATATAGGCATTCAATATGACAAAATATGTAAACGTGTCTTACAAAATAATATAATTATTCAGTTATGCTGATGTTAGTTAAACTGCAAACACTATGAACGATACTTGCTTTGGTCAGGCTTTAAGTTACAGTGATACTGTTAAGCTTATATGGCAATTTTCCAGCTTTCCTTTACTCCAGCATGTCTTGTCTTGTAATGAAGTAAAACCAAAGACCTTCCTTATAAACCAAAGAATCTGAACTCTCTGGCAAAATTTGAACCCACTGCAATTAAGGAGCACTAAAACAGACCTTAACCACTAAGCCAGCAAGACCTTGCAGGAAAAATCACTTTTGAACATTTGATCAACACCACATCATAAAACATGTACCTACTTTTAGATTAATTTATGGCATGAATTTTCGCTACTCTAAATTTGGAACAATCCTTAGGGTTTTGAAATCAAAATGCTTCATAAAATAGCAAACAGTGCAGTTCAAAACACAAGCCATTTTAATTCTTGTGTTCTTTTCTCCTCTATTGTCTGGAACTCAAATACATTACAATTTAATTTGTCATTTGCATATATCCCACACAAATGCATATTAACATTTACTTTTTCAGAACAATTTGGCAGCCGTTTTTATAGCCCATTGCACTCCTGACAACCAGAATTATTCTGATGTCTGCACAGTGAGGAATATAAACTTAAAAAGAAATAATGTCCTACATTTTCAAGAGCATAATTATACTTGAAGATTTAATTAAAAAATTCATTTCTAAATGTATGAATATCTTTTATAAAGCCAGATATTCAAGTTGGTATTAAGGCTCATAACAGTTTCAAAGATTTATATTTTGCATACTCATACCTAGAGGTGATTACATCCCTAGACTTAATTACTGCTATGGGCTGGAATCCATTCAGAGACTACTTTCATGTGAAGTTAGCTATCCAGTTAGCAAATGGGTGATTGACCAGTATTTCTCTGACTCAGGTGCTATTAACTATTGACTGTAATAATATTCAGAGGGGCACATCATATATAATACCCCAAGGGGCTCATGATAATATATAATACCCCAAGGGGCTCATGATGTATAATACCCCAAGGGGCGTATGATATATAATACCATGAGGGCCACATGATATATAATACCCCAAGGGGCACATGATATATAATAACTGAGGCAACGCTATATATACCTAGAGGGCACATGATATATAATACCCGAGGAACATATGATATATATAATACCAAGAGAGGCACAAGATATATAATACCCAGAGGGGCACAATATATATAATACCCCAAGGGGCGCATGATATATATTACCAAGAGAGGCACATGATATATAATACCAAGAGGGGCACATGATATATAATACCCAGAGGGGCACTTTTATGTATAATACCCAGAGAAGCACATGATATATAATACACAGAGGGGCAAATAATATATAATACCCAGATGGGTACATTATGTATAATACCCAAGGGGCACATGACATATAATACCCAGAGAGGAGACATAATGTTATCTTCCATAAGTACAACTGGAAAGTTGCATAATGACCTTTAAAATGTTGGTGTGACTTAAAAGGAAACTACTGAAGTTCTAGAATAGAAGTTATTCCTGAGCCAGTGTTCATTTGTATACTTAGAAAGCTTACATTCCCTTGAAATCAGAGCTATTCATTGTTAATGACAGGGACTTTGATATCAAAATATTAAAATAAAGCAGTTAGCTATAAAAAGTCATTGGCTGAGATAATGGAGAATTAGCAGACTGCCTTTATGTTGGTGGTCCAAGTTATATCCAAAAGGATTTAAAGGTTAAGACATTTTTAAAAATATGAAAAAAGGGGAGATCATTCCACAGCAATGTAAACAGGAAAAGTACATGAAAATTGCAGACTTTCTTTAACTGATTATATTTTTGAAAGACAATTAAAAGAGCAACATGCCCACTTTCAGGGTCCCATGCAGCTTTATCTTATGCCAACTGGGTCCCAGCTTTCTCTTGTGCCCCCTTTGGACCCAGCTTATGCAGTAATACCACAAAATGACATTTTATTTTATTTTTTACGTATATTTCAGTGACAGCAGCGGGACATGGAGAGACCAGGACAACAACAACACACTATGAGAATGGCTTGCTAATGAGATCATCAAATGAATTTAACCATCATGTTAATGACCATATCAATACCAACCTGTAATAGGGCAAAGATTAGAATAGTTTATAATAACTTGACAATGAGATTGCATAAAAATGCATTATTTCTCGCTGCAAAGTAGATTATATTTTAACAGGACATAAATCATCTCCGGGACGCTTCTGGGACAGTCACCTGATTTCAGGGACAGTCCCTGATGTCCGGGACGCTAAAGAATGTATGATGTTTGCATTCAAACACAAGAATTTACTTTTCAGTAAAAGAATATAGTTAGTGAAAGGTTTTTCTACTTTTAAGTGATGAATGAAAAAGTTCATTGCTCCACTAGCAAAACACACTATGAGAGATCTGTTTTATTTATTTTCTGTACAAGATTCAAAGAGAAGCTGACATTCAAATCCTATGGATTTCAAAGAGGAAGCTCAGGATATGTTTAGCATTTCTTAATTCATTTATATGGACTAGTCATACTGTGCATAGCAATTAACATGGACGAAAGTCATACTGTGCATGGCAATTCACATTCATAGACAAAAGTCATACTGTGGCATCTATTCATTTTGATCAGCATTACTTCTATGACTAGACTATACTTATCATGTATTATATAAGTTCATTTTTTTTCTTGTCATCGATGTACATTTTTCATTCATGTATAAACCATCTGGTGTTGTCTTTGAGAATTTCTCTTTTGTCTTACCAAATGACCAACTAAATACCAAATGTTCAATTATATAAAGGACAAAAGTTTATTCATCTTTTCTCAGCAAGATCTGTTTCCATAAAGCTGTCTGGTGTGGTATTCCAAAGTTTAAAACGGTGCTTATAATGAATATTCAAATGTCAGATGTCTTAGATGCAATTTGTATTTATTCTGGTGCCATATTTCAATTTTTTTTACATTACTGGTGTTAATTCTCTTAAACTCTGTGTCATTTTTTTTTTTAATTTCAGTTTAGTGTTGAATTAAATGGGTCTGCATAATGCAATTTAAATAATCATATTTATTCTGATGCCATATTTCAATTCTCTCATTCTGATGCCTTTTTTCCACAAGGTGCCATATTTTCTTTTTCAAAATTTGAATTTCAGTGTCATAAGTTTGAAAGACTTGTTTAACATCCAATAATACTTAACATTCCATCTCTGGATTGTCAGGTCTAATATAAAGTAAAGCATCCATCAATTAAGCTAGTGATATTGAGGACATGATAGCCACCCCCATAGTCTATATCAATCAAAATCAAATTAGTGCTCACATGTCCTGGAGGGAGAAAATAGATCTTGACAATTTGTTGCTCAGATTATGTTTTAATAAAGAAGCTGAGCCACTATACACATATTTGTATTTTAAAAACAAATTATATAAGAAAGCAGAATATTATATTCATTATTTTCTTTAATTTTGTAACCTCCATTTACAAAATATGACATATTCTATTTATTCATTGGTCAACTTTTTGATAATACATTTCTTGATCTAAATTCAGATAAATGGAATACAATTGTACAGTTATTTCCAGCAAATATTATAAAATCTAAATTTAATCCATTTTTTTTTTGGTTTATTGTATTTATTCATGGGAAAAACTTTTCATACAATCCTTCTTTTCTACACACAGGCTTTTGATAAAATACAATAAACTTTTAATTTTGCAAACAGAAAATAGAAGAAAAAATGTTAAAATATACTTCTTTTATCATCTTCCTTCATAGATTTTTATTTGTATTCATTTGTGTGTTAAACTTTTTCCACAATAATTTCTGCCTCATTACCTGTAATTTCTATTTAAAAACAACATCTGTTAAAAAAATATTTCTTTCAAAAAATATAGAAGTATAATAAGGAAGTTTAATTCCCCGGAAAGTAGTTGTCCTAGATTACTTAATGTCACCAGTGCCAGGCCAAGCTGCAATTCCTTGAATTAACAATAAGCATTAACTATTCTCTATTAAAACAAGAATTTGTAACAGAGTTACCAACGTCCCCCGCCTCGGGGAAGTTTTATATGAAGCATAAAATTGTGCTATTTCAAAAGATTGAGGTATGGATCTAAGGACTTTCAGTCCAAAATTATGATCAATGCTAGATCTGCAAATGCAACAATAAATTTATTAAAGAAATAAAATGAAACACTGAATTTAAAAATCTATCATGTTAAGCTTTGACCTCTAAGTGTGACCTTGACCTTGGAGGTAGGGGTGCAGGTGTTGTGCATGACATATCGTCTTATTATTGTAACTATTTGTACCAAGTATTTTCAAAATCCCTTGAACTATGAAGAAGTTATAGATGGGACACAAAATATATCCTCTAACAGACTATGTTAATCTTTGACCTCTAAGTGTGACCTTGGAGGTAGGGACCCATGTTTTGCGCCTGACATATCGTCTTATTATTGTGATTATTTGTGCAAAGTATTCTCAAAATCCCATGATCTATGAAAAAGTTATGGACTGGACACAAAATATACCCTATAACAGACTATGTAAATCTTTGACCTCTACATGTGACCTTGACATTGGAGGTAGGGATGCAGGTGTTGTACTTGACATATCGTCTTATTATTGTGACTTTTTGTGCCAAGAATTTTCAAAATCGCTTGATCTATGAAGAAGTTATGGATGGGACACAAAATATACCATATAAAAGACTCTGTTAACTTTTGACCTCTTAGTGTGACCTTGACCTTGGAGGTAGGGGTGCAGCTGTTGTACTTGACATATCGTCTTATTATTGTGACTATTTGTGCCAAGTTATTTCAAATCCCTTGAACTATGAAGAAGTTCTAGATCGGACACAATATATACCCTTTAACAGACTACATTGTATGTTAATTTTTGACCTCAAAATGTGACCTTGACCTTGGAGGTAGGGATACAGGTGTTGCACATGACACATCCTCTTATTATAGTGACTATTTGTGCCAAGTATTTTCAAAATCCTTTGATAAATGAAAAAGTTATGGACAGGACACAAAATATACCCTATAACAGACTATGATAATCTTTGAGGTAGGTTGGTGACCGATTTTGTGCATGACACATTGTCTCATTGTTGTGAACAATTGTGGCAAGTATTTACAAAATCTCTTCAAAGATAAGAAAGTTACAGATCGGACACGACATATACCCTCAAATAGACAATGTTGACCTTGAATGAGCAAGTGCGACCTTGACCCCGGAGGTAGGGTCTGGTTTTTGCGCATGACACATCGTGTTATTATAACAAACATTTGTGCCAAGTTATTTCAAATTCCTTTGATAAATGACAGTTATGGACCGGACACAAAATATACCCAGTAACAGACTATGTTAATCTTCGACCCCCAAGTGTGACCTTGACCCTGGAGGTAGGGGTCTGGTTTTTGCTCATGGCACATTGTGTTATTATAACAAACATTTGTGCTAAGTTATTTCAGATTCCTTTAATAAATGACATAGTTATGGACTGGACACGAAAGTGTGATGGACGGACAGACTGACATACTCACAAAATGGTACTTATGTGACTTTTCCTTGGATCTTTTTGGCCATTTTTAGTCACACAAAAAAAACAAAAACAAATGTTAATGAACTATTCCAAAGTCAATAATGGACATGACTATCAAATAATCAAACAAATTTACTAGGTTAAATTTAAGGTTAATCACATGTTTATCACATATGGATCTCACAATTATAGAAAGGCTAATTAGCTAGACAGCAGTCCCTAAACAGCAATAAAGCCTATCTTCTTCCCTATCACATCTCTCACTAATTAATAGTCCTCTTTCAAACAATTTCCTTCCTAATTACTCTGATTTAAACTTGTTTTAACATAACTTATTACCCACCAAAGCCTTTCTTGCTTTTTTAGTTTTTGTTTTTTCTTATATGATTTATATACATAATTTGCTCTTTAATTCAAGTTTAGTTTCAATGTATTTTGTGAGACAATCTTTTGCAAGTTATATATTTACTACTCCCTGAAGTTTAATTCAGTTTACTGGAACTTACCTATTAGTTACTGAGGTCAAATTAAAAAGCATGGTCATAAAAGAAAAACAGCTTAAATTCATGGAACATTTACCATTCAACTATCAAAAGAGGCATCTCTGGGTAATTTTTTCAATTTTCAATTAAACTGCATTATATTTTAATTAAACTTTATATTTTTTTCATAAAGGTGACTATTAGTAACACATGTATTATAAAATTTAGTTAAGTGTATATAATTCTTTTTCATTTTACATGCATACATTATCATATTTTTACTAATACTGCATGTTTAATGTAAGGTCGCTTTTCATTGGACAATCATGATGTATATATATAAACTATATATATATATATGGTTGCTGTCATTTAATAAAGTATTTCCTTTTTCCCCAATAAAGGAAGCTTGTTGTAATACAGATTCTTGACAGGGTACCTGGCTGTATATAATTGGTTGTTTGCAATATAACCCTTACCTAATGGCTTAGGTTATATTTTCACAACCATTTACATAGGGCCATTATAAGCTGTCAAAAATGCTTGTAACTTACAATATCAATGTGGATACAATATAAAAAGCACCATGTTAACATGTCAATATACCTCATTCAAGGGAAAGCCAAATGGGTTATATCATCATTTTCACCTCTAAATGTAAGTCATAATACGGTTATCATACAGTGAGTGTTTAATACAGTCAGTGATATAAAGTAATTCCTACCTAAATAGTAAGAGCTACACAGTGAGTGATATATTGTGAGTGCTATACTCTGATACATCATCTGTAAGTAATAAACAGTGAGTCATAAACAGTGAGTGATATACTCTTGAGTGATGAATAGTGAGTGATATACTGTGAGTCATAAATAGTGAGTGATATACTGTGAGTGATGAATAGTGAGTGATATATTGTGAGTGCTATACTCTGATACATCATCTGTAAGTAATAAACAGTGAGTCATAAACAGTGAGTGATATACTCTTGAGTGATGAATAGTGAGTGATATACTGTGAGTCATAAATAGTGAGTGATATACTCTGAGTGATTAACAGTGAGTGATATACTGTGAGTCATAAACAGGGAGTGATATACTCTGAGTGATCAACTGTCAGTAATATACAGTGAGTCATAAACAGTGAGTGATATACTCTGAGTGATGAACAGTGAGTGATATACTATGAGTCATAAATAGTGAGTGATATACTCTAAGTGATTAACAGTGAGTCATACATAGGGAGTGATATACTCTGAGTGATCAACTGTCAGTAATATACAGTGAGTCATAAACAGTGAGTGATATACTCTGAGTGATGAACTATGAGTGATATACTGTGTGTCATAAACAGTGAGTGATATACTCTGAGTGATGAATAGTGAGTGATATACTGTGAGTCATAAATAGTGAGTGATATTCTCTAAGTGATTAACAGTGAGTCATAATCAGGGAGTGATATACTCTGAGTGATCAACTGTCACAGATATACTGTGTGTCATAAACAGTGAGTAATATACTCTGAGTGATCAACTGTCAGTAATATACTGTGAGTCATAAATAGTGAGTGATATACTCTGAGTGATGAACTGTAAGTAATATACTGTGAGTCATAAACAGTGAGTGTTATTCTCTGAGTCATAAACTGTGAGTGATATACTGTGAGTCATAAATAGTGAGTGATATACTCTGAGTGCTAAACTGTGAGTGATATACTGTGAGTCATAAACAGTGAGTAATATACTCTGAGTGATAAACTGTAAGTCATAAACAGTGAGTGAGTGATATACTCTTAGTTATTTACAGTGAGTCATAAACAGTGAGTGATATTCTCTGAGTGATAAACTGTGAGTGATATACAGTGAGTCATATACAGTGAGAAATAAACAGTGATATATACATCGTGAGTGATATATATACAGCGAGTTATAAATTGTGAGTGATATACAGGAAGTGATACAAAGGGAGTGAAATATGGCTATTGTACTAGTTGTATATACTAATCCCTGAAAAAAATCTTACATTAAGTAATTAATTTATATTTATACACAATATAAACTTGAATTAAAGGATACCTTTTTCTGTATTGATATTTTTTCTTTATTGATACTTTTTCTTTAACGTATATTTTTTTTCTTTATTGCCACTTTTTTCTTTATTTTATCTTTTTTTCTTATTAATATTTTCATACCTATATTACAAGGTAATTTAGTAACTGTTGTATTTCACCTAGTGATGTAACTGTGAAAATACATTATTTATGAATGATAAGATCATGAAAACATATATATCATTATGTATATATATATATCTGTTATTTTTGGAGATAAAACATGATTTTGTTTGTACATCCTATGCCTATATATTGTTATGTTATATTTTGTAATAATCAAGAAAGGTAAGTTAATATAAATATATCTATGATTATCATAGATTAACTGAAATAATGTTTTTTTCTGGTTCTAAATATTCATTTTAGACATCTGTGGATTGCAGACTTCAAAATGATTGGCCAATAACCACCGAGTGTTTGACTCCCACCAAAGGCGTTGGATGATCAAACTCTTTCAGGTACAGCTATGTTATATATAGGAAAAATCAGTGGTTCTACTTGGTTGTCTGATGGTATCAATATATCCTGTCATGGTGATCTCAGGAATATTCAATTCTTTTACACATTGTTGATATAACCATGTTACACCACAGTACGTCTGCTGTAAGAACTACATACAGCTCTGATGGTACTTGCTGTCTGTCCAGGCAAGTCTGCATATCTGTACATTTTTATTATACCTGTACCTTTTCTTAAATAATACACTTAACAAAATAAATAACTAATTTGTTAAAGCATAGTTCTGTTTCACTACGGAATAATAATTTAAATTGTTAAAGCATCACTGTATAATATTGTTAAAGCATAGTTTTGTAACACTGAACCACAATAATTTAAATTGTTAAAGCATTAATCTTCTTACACCTAGTCATTGTATTGTTAAAGCATAGTTCTGTTACACTGAAACATGATAAAACTTCAAATTGCTACAGCATTAATCATGTTACACCTTGTATTTTATTGTTAAAACATAGTTCTGTTACACTACAACATGATAATGATTTCAATTGTTAAAGCATGCCACATCTAGTCATTGTATAATATTGTTAAAGGATAGTTTTGTTACAGTGAGACATGATAATAATTTAAAATGTAAAAGCATTAATCCTGTTACACCTATTCATTGTATTGTATTGTTAAAGCATATTTCTGTTACACTAAGACATGATTACTATCTCTGTTAAAGTATTACGGTTGTATTATAATAAAAAATACTGGATCAGTTAAAAGTAACTGTTGTTGTTTGTTTCACAAGTTGTAAAGACATCAATGCAGTTAAGGTCATTATGATCAAGAGTTACAGAAGAAGTATGACCCTGGACACCCCTACATTTGTGAGGAACAATATAGCCAGGTCCTTGGTTAAAACACTAAACAGCCAGAACATCTCCTGTATGTGTATATATTTGTAGGAAGGCCTAGATGTGTAGACTGGAATTACTTAGCATTTACCACCAGTATAGAGCCAGGCCAGTCTGCAAATTCATGTAGATTAACATACCAGGCTCTATACTGCAGGTAGCTCAATTTTTGTATTTGGACATTGATACCTATTACATTTTATTCCAAATTCAAGACCGGGCAATCCATTCTACAAATTAAGCAGGTTAAGTGTGAAACCCTGCTAAAACCTAGGTCACAAATAAGAAAATGCCGCCGGGCGGCGTCTGTTTCTCAAAATAATCGCAATATCGGCCGGCGTCCGTCCGGCGGCAGTGACTATCGGACGGCAGCAGCTGAAAATTTTGCTCATCGGGCGGGCGCCTTCGAGTTTTAAGTAATACTTAAAAGCTAACGGCGGTCGGACGATAATTTTTGGGGTCACTGAGTATAAATATCATCGAGCGGACATCGTTCGGTCGCCGAGCGGCGACCGGACGATGATTTTTTTGATCGTGCGATTTTTTGTTCTACTAAAACAGCGTCCGACTGATCCGTTCAATTCTTTCTGTAAAATCTACTCGGCAAAAATCGCCCGACGACTGTTTCATTCATGACCACGCAAGGTATCAGATTTAAAATCGCCCGGCGTCCGCAACATCAAAAAATCTGCCGATTTTATAAAAATCGTTTAATCGGACGGCGCCCGTTTTATTTGTGACCTAGGCATTAACAAACAGTCCCATAGTATCAATATTTTAATCTTAAGATTGGCATGTTATACAAAATGTAGCCTATCTGAAGCTTCTACTACAATACTAATGAAGTTAAGCTCTATTTGAACATCAGGTCCCTTTGTATAATGTGTTGGGTTTTATGTCACACCAACACAGTGTAGGTAATATGGCAAAATTTCTGCTTTACTGTTGGAGAAGACCTCAGATGCCCCTTTGAGCATTATTTCAGGAACAAACTGGCACCTCAGTAGAACCACCAATGTTCTTTAAGCTAACTGGAGAACTTTCTCATATGAAAAAGTTCCAAGATTGTGGCATGGATTGAACCTACAGAAGTGAGAGGCAAGTGGTTTGAAGTCAATGACCTTTACGCCCCTGCCTTTGGGGGCACTTTTTAAATCACCACTAAACAAAAAAATCAGCCCTTTAAAAAATATTGCCCAAACAGAAAAAAACCCCCAATTGTTTCCCAAAAAAATTTCAAAATAAATTTAAAATTGCCATTTTTTAAAGGGGTTTTTGGGGTTTTGGGGGAAAACTTTTTAAAAACCCCACCTTTTAAAAAGGGGGATTTTTTTCCAAAATTTTTTTACATTAATATTTCAATAAAATGCACTTAAAATTCAAAAATTTTAAATAACACAGCTAATTTCAATCTAACAAAATCAAAAAAAATTTAAAAAATTTGATGTTTTTTTTAAATGTGCATTTTTGGGCTTTAAAAGATAAAATTTTTTTTCCCATTTTTTGGCCAATTTTTGATTTAAATTTTTAGAAACTTTTGGGCAGCATTTTAATCTAATACAGCAAAATGCTCTAACATGTTTATTTCTTTGGCTTCTACTTTTAGCAATTTACAGGGTGCAGCTTATTAGATGCACATTTTCCCCCAATTAGGTATAATGGATAGATTAAACGAAACTTACCTTCGTAGAAGGGATGTTGAAGTTTGATCCAGACTTTATCAACTGTAAACTCACTTGGGGATAACACAGAGATACAGCGTGGCTTATCAGCTTCAGTCAGTCTTTTAGAGCTATATAGCAGATACTTGCAAACAATAAACAATTGTAACAAGGATCTGCTATTTGAATACAGAATCAGAATATTCATCATATTGGGAGGGTAAAAAGGGTGGGTGTGTTATCCCCAAGTGAGTTTACAGTTGATAAAATCTGGATCAAACTTCAACATCCCTTCTACGAAGGTAAGTTTCGTTTAATCTATCCATTTTATCAACTGTATAACTCCCTTGGTGGACCCCACAGAGATTTTAGAGCTGATTCTGTATGAAGTAGGAATCAAAAGTAATTAAAAACATGTATGATTCAATTTCTTCTTTTTATATTCCATGCATACAATAAGATTGTTACAAACAAAGTATACAGGCATCTTAAGCATTTCTGTTTTGAATGCTAGTTTGAAATGAGACATGTTTGCTTGAAATAATTGTCTTATCATAAAACTTTTGAAAAGTATTGGCATTTGTCCACCCTGCTGTTTTAATTATACTAGATATTGGAACCCCTCGTAGAAGCGCAGCTGATGTTGAGGCTGCCCGTGTGCTATGGGCCCCATAGTGCTTGGCCACCCCTGCCTTAAATAATGTGAGTTTGACCCAACGTGATATTGTCTGACTTGAAACACCTTTGTGTGGTTTTTGCGTGCTTATTAAAAGTTTAGTTTCTTCTTGTCGCAAAGATTTTGTGCGTTCTAAATATTGTTTGATTGTAGTAACAATGCAGATGTTCTTGTCTTTTGGGTATGATTCTAGAATTATGTCAGGTAAATGGTGACCTGGCCTTGATTGTTTTAATAAATGATTGATTTGAACTGTGATTTGTGAACCTTCTATGTGAATGTCGTTCAGCTGGATAAGATGTAAAGTTTGACATCTTTGGGCAGTGTCGACTTAAAGAGGAATAACATGCACAATTTGCATGTCAACTGAATAAGAGTTAGATCTTGTAAACTAGAAATGTAGCGTAAAACTGTATTGACATCCCATATAGTTGAATATCTAGGAAGACATGGACGTTCTAAATATATTCCATGCATAAATTTGTTTATAAGTTTGTTGCTACTAAAATCTAAGTCACTGCATAAACTCACAAAATTGTTAATGGCTGCCCTGGCCGTTTGAAAAACACTGTATTTTAGTCCTTTTTTATATAAAGTGACAAAAAAAGCTAGTATAGTATTTACAGAGGGCTTAAGAGGATTTCTCTTTTTCCCACAGAACCGAATCCACTGTTTAATATAACAATTGTACTGTTTCTTTGTAGTTTTTCTCCAAGATTTGATAATGATGTCGGCAGCTGCAGCTGGTATTCCTCTGCTTTCAAGGGATTCCCGGATAATCGAAAAACAGCTAATTTCATCTTTGTTAAGGGGTGTTTTCTCTCTGGTTTGTGATGTAGATGAAGTATTTTTTGCGGAGATGGAAGGATGTAACATGGTCCGCTGATCAGACGTAGAAGAGATGGCCACCAGACCTGTGTGGTCCACACTGGCGCAACTATTACCGCTTCTGTTCCGTTTATTTCTATTTTCTGAAGCACCTTGGACAGTAAGCTGAAAGGTGGGAAAATATAATACAACATATTTTTCCAAGTTAGAGAAAATGCGTCTATAGCATGTGCATCCGGATCCGGCAATCTTGTAACATATTTTGAAAGCTTTTTATTTAATCTAGATGCGAAGAGATCTATGTCAATATGGCGATATGTATTAAAAATCTTGGAAAACACCGTTTCGGTAAGTGACCATTCCAGGTCATCATTGAATTTTCGAGACATTTCGTCTGCTTCACAGTTCATTGAGCCTGGTAAATGTGCAGCACTTAAATGAATTTTTCTGTCTATGCACCATAACCAGATTGACCTAGCAATTAAATCAAGATTTTCAGATTTTCCCCCAAATTTGTTGATGTAAGAGCAACTTGTTGTGTTATCCATGTAAATTCTAACATGAGTATTTGAGATATGTTTACAAAGTGATTGTATTGCTAGTTCACAAGCTTTCAGTTCCAGTACATTAATATGGAGTCTTTGTTCATCGACTGACCACTGACCTCCAGTTTTCACACAGTTTGTTTTATCTATTGCACCCCACCCACTCAACGAGGCATCTGAACAAATGGTGAGTGATGGTTCCTCCCTAAGAACTAATTTATAATTGATGGGAGTATGGACAATCCACCAGTTTATACAATTTTTAGTTTTGCTTGACAGTTTCATAAACTTATCATACTGACCCTTGTTTAACCTCAAGTTTTTGTCTTTAACTTTTTCTAAGGGTTTATAAAAGAGTGGAGCATACTCCACCCCAGGCTCAGAAGCCACTAATTTGCCAATCAATTGTGCAAAGTGTCTTATCAGGCATTTACGTTTATTTATTATATTTTTACAAAGTTCGATCAAGGTGCTTTTCCGTTCCAATGTAAGTCTTATGGTCATTGTTTCTGAGCATAATAAAAATCCTAGAAAATTTATCTGTTTTGTTGGTACTAAGACTGATTTTTCAAGGTGGATTGTTAACCCAAGTGAATCCATTAAGGTGACTGTTTTTTCAATATTTTCTAAACAAGCTTCGTATGTTTGGCCTTGAAGACAACTGTCATCAATGTAGGCTGTGCTTATGAACCCCTGTGATCTAAGTGTTGCATAAACTGGTTTAAGAAGTTTAGTAAACACTCTTGGAGAAGTTGTGAGTCCCATCACTAAACAAGTAAACTGATATTTCTGACCTTTATGTATAAATCTGAAAAATTTTCTGTCTCGTGGTCTTACGGATATTGAGTAGAAAGCCTCTGACAAATCAACTGACCCAAAGAAACAATCTTTACGCATAGCTTCTGTAGCTGATTTCAATGTTTCCATCTTAAAATGAGTGCTTTCTGTGAATAATTTATTGAAATTCTTTAAGTTTAATATCACCCTAACTTTGCCATCCTTTTTTGGCCTAATAAAGATGTTGGAAATATATTCATAATCATGATCTGTAGAAACTGGTTCAATTATATTGCACTTGAGAAATCTCTGTATTTCACGGTCTATTTTATTTTGTTCAATGTCACTGAATTTAATTGGTTTTGGAACATTGTACTGAACAGGTGGCTTTGTTAATTCTACTGCATAACCCAAAACTGTCTTAAGAATCCATTTATCTTTTGTGATTGAGCACCATTGATTGTAATGTTTTGCTATTTTACCAGCTATAAAGTTTTCTTTAGTATGGAAAAGTGGTAGGATGTCATTACTTACAGTTATTTTCGGAATCCTGGATTCTTGTGAGCTGGGCCTTTTTTGTAGCTTTGTCTGTTTGTTCTGTTGCTCATTTGCTTGAAGGGGGGCCCTGTGTGCTTGCGGAACTGTGTTTGACCTACCCCCCTCCTTTCTAAAAAATGACCGGTCTGATGTCTGCTAGGGTTGTTATGTACCGTAAGCGTTGTTTCATTGTCGTTTCTTTGCTTTATTTCCTCTTTCAAATCATCTCCAAATAGTTTTGTTGAGGTGGTTTTAGAAGAATCACAAATGTTTCTGTATTTGGGCAGTAATTCCTTTTTTATTTTTTCCTTCCTTGTTTGTGAAGTGGTGTTGATAAACAAACAGATCATTTTGAACGCATCCCCAACGTGCTCTTTTGCCTGTTGAAGATTATGCTTGTCGTTCTTCTTAAATGCGTCTAGGGCCCTTATGATTGGGACCAGGGCTGAACTAAGGTGAGTTGTCTCCCTTTGTAGTTGTACATCCATTGCCCTTGTTTCCCTTCTAAGTTGTCGCCACAAAATGTTGTCCACTGCAGGTACTTGAAGGTTTTCTATATTATTTGGCCGCAAATACTTCGTCTGAAGATCCTTCAATTTCTCAGGATTTACTGCAGCCCGCAATCCATCATTGACCGCCTGAGCCAATGTATCGGAGGTCTTTTCCCCCGTGGCTGACTTTTCTTGAAAAAATTCCCCAAGGTGTTGAATGAAATCTTCTTCATCATCAGATATGTCCGAGTTGTTGTTGATGAAAGAGTCTATTGCATCAATTCCATCAACTCCTATTTCTTTTTCCGTTTTGTCCTCATCTTCCTCCTCAGGCTCGGAGAGAACGTTGGTGTCAGACTGTTTTGTTCTTTTCTCCTGACGATCTGACTCTTCACTCGTTTCATTTCTCTTCCGCTTAAGTGTATTAACCTCTTCTTGTAAGAGTTCAACGCATTTTTGCATATCGGTCATTTCTGCCGATTTTTTGTTGATGGTTTGAACCGTTTTCGTCAGGGACAGCAGGAGTTTCTCCCCTTTGCCTATAAAGTTAGCAAATTGCTCTTCCCCCTTTTGAGCCTCTCCGACCTTTTCCGCGGACAGTGACGTACTTCCGCCCAAGCTAGCCATGACTAATTAGTATTCTAATAGTATTCTGAAAGGGAAAACAGTTTACCCATCAATTTAAAATCGGGAAAGCGAATGCATTGTCATAATTTCGTTCATTGTCGCAAAATAACGTTTCGTAACAAAAAGCTCATAATTTTCGTCCACTGGTACGAAATATGTTCGTAATATAATTTTCCAGTTGAAAAGTAAATCATCCGTTTTTGGATGGCCGTTTCGGCATGCTTCCATCATGATGGAAATGTAAATATGATTTGAAACAGAAATCGATGTAATTCATTTTAAATGCAGCCAGAATCGCATGACAATTTGCAGATTTCATTCTTTTTTCGTCCCACATTATTTCGACCTATTACGGTCGCCGCCGTTTCGGCAAGTTTTCCATTTCGGAAAAACATTTTGAGATTAAATAGATCCGGCATGGCTCCGGAGTTTTTTAATCTTAAGATTAATAACTTTTCATGTGTTGAAATAACCTAAAGACGAAAAACATAAACAAATTTATTAACTTACCCACAATAATAATGTCCGTGTTTTGAACTAAAATAGATATGTAGAAGACGTATAAAGGTGATTGAAAATAAATTTTTTGTTAACCCTAAAAATTATCTGACTCTCCAGAAGCAATGTAAACCTCGCACTGACTGAAGCTGATAAGCCACGCTGTATCTCTGTGGGGTCCACCAAGGGAGTTATACAGTTGATAAAATTAGCTATCATTTGGTTTCTTTTAAAATCTTTGGTTCAATTAAAGAAACTTTTCTGTGAAATAATGAAAAAAAGCCGTCCTGATATTATTTATTGTCATATCTTAACACCTTTAATGATATCTAAATATATTATTTATTTTTACATAGAAAAATTCTGTAAAATTTTACATGAAAATGCACATACAAGTCAGAGACAACTCTTTGGAAAAATAAAATTTACTATCAGAGTTGTCTCCCTTGTATGGTAAAATTTAAATACTAAATTGAAATACTTATTTTTTTTATTTCAATAATCAGGCTTTCAGTGTTTAAATATACTAAAATCAGTAACTTAAATAACAGTTTAATAGCAGGTTTATTCAAATAATAAAATAAATGCTAATAATTACGAAATGGTTGCCTTTGATAAACATAATTATATAGAGGAAATTAAATGAGTGTAGAACTAGTTCAATTTAACAAGTTGAATAAAATTATATCATGCCAGTCTCTGATGGGCATAATATAACTTGATTAAACAGGTTCGATAAATTTAGTAATGAAGCTAAATGGATATAATACTCTATCACATACCAAACTAGAACTGCCACTGTCATGGCGTGAATACCCCCGCATACCACTTTGTCAGAATCAACAGTGACCATTGAGAGCTCAAGGACAACCTCTCTGCAAAATCTGAGGTTACTATTAGCCAGTGCATTGCTAAGTTAAGTATTCTACATGCTTCAAAGGTTAAAATCAATACACTGCAGACATGCATTCTTAAGCATTTGAGCAGACAAGCTTATTATAGTAAAATCCCTGTGACCTTGACCTTTGACACAGTTACCTCAAAAATCAAAAGGGGTCATCTACTAGTCATAAATAACCTCATTACCAAATATGAAGACTATTGACCAAAGCCTCCATGCCAAATATGAAGACTATGGGTCAAAGGATTCTTAAGTTATTGGGCAGACAAGCTTTTTAAAGTGAAGGTCCCTATGACCTTGACCTTTGACCTGGTGACTTCAAAATTAAAAGGGGTCATCTATTCATCATGACTAACCTCCATGCTAAATATGAAGACTGTGGGTCAAAGGATTCTTAACTTATTGGGCGGAAAAGCTTTTTGAAGTCAAGGCCCCTGTGACCTTGACCTTTGACCTGGTGACTTCAAAATTAATAGGGGTCATCAACTAATCATAACTAACCTCCATGCCAAATATGAAGACTGTGGGTCAAAAGATTCTTAACTTATTGGAATCAAGGCCCCTGTCAAAGGAATCTTAAGTTACTGGGCGGACAAGAAAAAAACGACGGACAGCAGGACGGAAGAGCTGATTCCAGTATACCCCCCTTACAACTTTGTTGTGCGGGGGTATAAAAATATGAACAAGAACCACTTTTCATTGACGTTATCTAGTGTAAAGCTAACATTTAGCATATCATTACGCTGTGTTTGTGCAACTGTGTCACATCACACATATGTATGACTGAGCATTACCGTTTTCAAAGAGTCGCAAAAGTGGTGCAAGTGTGTGATAAAAACTCAATATTTATAGTACTTTAGAACTTCTTAACAAAGATGAATATTTTACTTGGTAACCTTGTCACTGCCAAAAATGAAAAAAACAACAACAAAAAACAAGTGAAGCACAACAAATGCTCGATCCACAATGTAAATTTACGTTAAAAAAAAACAAGATTGCATTTGAGAAAAATGCTATGCCACCGCATGGTTCAAATTTCATAGCTGTACATCAAAGGACAAGAAAGTAGGTCACATCATCAAAATCTAGATTACTGATATCAAATTAAATTTTACAACTAAAACTGTGCACATGGTCAAAATGTCATTGCTGTACATCAAAGGACAAGAAAGTAGGGGCAAGGCATAATTTTGACTCAAGGGTTTAATTCAAAACAATCTTGATACAGGTCCACCAAACAACATTTCAAAACAAATATATAATTTGAACAATCTTGCAAAAGGTTCACTACACAATGTTTCATGCAAAATATCTTAACTCTAGCCTTTGTAAATTTAGAGAAGATGATTTTTTAAGTTTTTACTATATACATATAAGGAAAACCTATGGCCCCCGGGCTAATTTTGACACAAGAGGCAGAATTTGAATAACTTTTGTAGAGTACCTTTAGATGATATTATTTAACAAATATTAAAGCTCTAAGCTTTGCACCTTCAGACAATAAGATTTTTTTGATTTTTTTACTATATGTATATATTGAAATCAATGACCCCCAGGGCGGGGGGCAATTTTGACCACAGGGCTATAATTTGAACAATCTTGCTAGAGGTTTACTACACAATGTTTCATGCAAAATATCTAACCTCTAGCATTTGTCAATTGCTAGAAGAATATTTTTTGAAGTTTTTACTGTAAGTTTTTACTATATTCATATAAGGAAAACTAATGACCCCCGGGGCGGGGCCGATTTTGACCCCAGGGCTATAATTTGAACAATCTGGGTAGAGGTCTACCAGACAATGCCTTGTGCAAAATATTTAAGCTCTAGGCCTTTTGGGTCTTTACAAGAAGGTGTTTTAAGTTTTTACAATATGTACATATAGTGAAAATCAATGACCCCGGGGCGGGGTCGATTTTGACCCAAGGGCTATAATTTGAACAATCATTGTAAGGGTCTACCAGACGATGCCTTATGCAAAATATCTAAGCTCTAGGCCTTTTGGGTTTTTACAAGAAGGTATTTTAAGTTTTTACTATATGTACATAGTGAAAATCAATGACCCCCGGGGCGGGGCCAATTTTGACCCCAGGGCTATAATTTGAACAATCTTGTTAGAGGTCTACCAGACAATGCCTTATGCAAAATATCTAAGCTCTAGGCCTTTTGGGTCTTTACAAGAAGATTTTTTAAATTTATTCTTATAATTCCTTTTGGTTGCCATGGCAACCAGATTTCTGCATGGAATGAAATTCTTTGAACAACTTTGGAAGCCCTTCACCCAAGGAACAATCCTGCCAAGTTTGGTTGAAATTGGATTAGTGGTTTTTCATAAGAAGATTTTTTAAGTTCACTATATAATCTATATAACACACACACAAACACACACACAAACACACGCACACACACACAGGTGAATCGCTATATGCCACCGCATCGCAGATGCTGCGGTGGCATAAAAAGACTAAAAATATTCTACGGTCCACTTACTAATATATTTTTATTACATTGATTAAACTAATATCTTCCTCACCCTGTACCAATCTGATGTACCTAAATTAACTAATCTTAAATTGTAATTCAGTTTTTTATGTTATTGATAAAAAAAGTGATTCCTTGATAATCTTAACTTAATAGAATAAGATAATCGTAAAAATTATTTTGGAAAGGACCCAAACTTGATGATGAACTTATGGTTTATCTTAAGTAACTTATCAAAGATCAAATCCAATGAAAAACTACCATAGCTTCCGACCTATGCCTTAGAGAACGCAACAAAAAAGATTTGTAAGATAAAAACACTAATAATTGTTTTGATGGATAGCTAAAAAGTATTGCCAAGGTGCTGAGATCTCTTGGTAATCCACTGCAGAAAATTTGAAGCTTGTCACATTTGACAGAGAGAATGTTTCTCAAATTTAGATTTATAGTGATAAATTAAAGTGTTTAAAAATGAGTTTCTAAAAATATATATCTTGTCAGGGAAAGACTGTACAATATAATAATATCAAACCACCACAAAGCAAATTACTGATAAGCCTTAAAGCTTTTTACTGATAAGCTTTACAATATAGTGGTTTATAAGATTATAACTTTTGATAACAATTAATCATAATTTTGACAATTACAATTTAATACAATTATAATCATAATTTGATAATTATAATTATCATGATTAAAACAGGCCGTGATGGAATAATTTAGTTTTCATATAGACATATAGGCAAAATTAAAACCTTTCAATAGAATTTCTTCAAACTTGGCAAACTTGGCATGTTATTAGAATATGATAACAGAAACATTTTAAACAGAAAAAAATTTGGGGTTATCAATCTCATTTTTGAGTTATCTGCCCTTGAATTGGACTTTTTTGTTAAATTCAAGGGCAGATAAATTACAATGAAGCAAAACAATACATTTTTCTTCTTATTTGCATGAAGCTGACCTTCGTCTTAGTCAATATGCAAAATTTCAAGAACAACTTGATTTAGAGTGGATAGTTTTTTCTCCCACTAATATTCTCTTAACCTGTGCATTTCTTAAAAATTGGCCTATTTTTTATGAATTTAAAGTACCTTTATTTTCATTGAAAAAACAAACAAACAAAAAACAGAAACTATATAAGGCAATAGAAAATAAATAACTAGATTCTCATCCAAATCTTGGGAAAAAATGGGGCGGGTGGGTGGATTTTAATTTTTATTTTTTATTTCCATTCTTGGTCCTGAAATACACACAAGGAGGTCAATATTTAGGACATTATGTTCTATACAGTATAATAGGTTCTAATATTATGTTTATGTAAGATATATAGATTCAGATTGAGAATAGAGGCAACATGATAATATATCTTGATTGTAAAGATCTAGCTGTTTTATTGAACCTTTCATATTATTTACATGTTTGGACAAAATAAAAAAAAAACAACAATATAGATCTACATGTATTGTTACAAAATAAGACATACTAATTTTATAAATGAGTTGAATAAAGATGTACATGTACTATGCCTATGCTGATCAATAGTGCTTTTACATGCGTAAATTAATTAATCAACCAATGAAGCTACACAAAAAGACAATCCTATTTATATATTACATTGCAAAAATAACATCTAAGCTATTGAAAATTTGGCAAAGAAAGTACAGAGATTTACCTATTAAATTAAAAAGCTATCTTATTTTCACTTTCATACCATTACTAGATATTATAAAGATTACATACAAAATCAAG